CGTGTACATAACACGCCATGAAGGACACAAAGCTGCAACTCCGTCACTGAATGTCTTCCAATATCCCTGTCATCTCCTCACCCCGGGCCCGCTACACCCTCATAATGGGCACAGCGGGTGTACAGACCCGGGAACTCAGCACAGGGATGGGGGGAGCTCCTCATAATGGGCACAGCGGGTGTACAGACCCGGGAACTCAGCACAGGGATGGTGGGAGCTCCTCATAATGGGCACAGCAGGTGTACAGACCCGGGAACTCAGCACAGGGATGGTGGGAGCTCCTCATAATGGGCACAGCAGGTGTACACAAAGAGCCCACGTGAGCGAGAAGCGACAGAGCGCCACAAGAGGGGGCGACATTACAACCCCATCGCCTCATATCATTCTGACTGTTCGATGGAGCGCCATGCGTGCCGATATCTACGCCGAGATGCGAGTGGAATTTTGGGTCAGACTGGATGGTGTTACGGCTGAAGATGCCGGAGAGGGAACTACACAAGGAGAGCAGCAGTGAGCGGTCTTTATTACAGGAGGGGGCGGAGACAAGACCAGTCACCCTGCACAAGGAGAGAGAGCAGCAGCAGAGAGGATGATATTTGCTCATCACGGAGTTCACCCTTAATAATAAGTGAGGACGCCATATTTGTTTTGTTTCCTGCGCAGAGCTCTATGAAAATCACCAACACACGCAGTAGCGTTGCTTGCGCAGGTATGTAAATACAGAGCTCCGAGGATTATGGGAAACCACCTCTGCAAACATCTTAAAGGGACGGCGCACCTCCGCGACACAACATTATGCAAAGACGAAGGGAAGCGTCACCTTGAGGTCGATGTGTGACGAGGTGTCAGAGAACCTCCTGGACCTTTCCGAAGGCACCAAGTTCATTCCGATTGGTCGCTGCGTTTACACAAACGCTGAAAAGAAAAATCGCTTTGTTGCCTTCGATGGGATTAAACTGGCACCGCCCGCTGTGTGGCAATCCAGACAGTCCTCATTTCAGAGCAGCAGCCGCCGTGTGTGTCCCCTCCTCCGGGCGGTGGAAAGTGAAAGGGAATGTGGAGCTCCTGGCTGAGGCGGCAGAAAGTAGATTAGCGAGTCACAAGACGGGTGGTGGCGGCTTCTCTCTCCCGAGTTATTTTAAGTGGCTCCCGACACCTCTGCCAACGCTCCCGGCTGGAGCACGCAGGAGGATCGACACCCTCCTCCCGCGCACCGACGCTTCGCAGACTTCAAACCCCCCCCGAAAAATCAAAACGTGGAATAAAGATCTGAGAGGAGCGGAGAGCCACCAATGTGTCGCCCAAACTACACCCCTGTCCAGTGAGACCGTCAGCCACCAATCAGAATGTGACACTCGCCACGCCCCCAGGACACCCCCAACCCAATGTTGGGGCGACCTGACGTTACGTACTAGATACCCCTCCTGCTCGCACTGTTGTGTGGGGGGCTTTAGGAGTAGAGAGGGAACCACCAAAAGTGAAACCACCGGGCCACGCCACCCATCTTCCTACACCCTGAGCCATGCTTCTCCACCCAGGGCCAGCCAGAGCACTCCTCCTCCATGGGACACACTGCACACCCTCTCCTCCCGTGCCATGCCGCCCCTCCTCTCCTCCTGCTCCCTGGACAACCCCAAAACTCCCCTCCTTGGGCCACAATGCTTACTTCCTCCGGCCACGCTGCTCGCTGCCTCAGGCCAAGACACTCATCCCCCTCCTCGGGCCACGCTGCTCACTTCCTTCCTCCTCCCAAGCTGCTCCCTTCCTTCCTCCTCCCAAGCTGCTCACTTCCTTCCTCCTCAGGGAACGCCGCTCCCTTCCTTCCTCCTCGGGCCACGATGCTCACTTCCTTCCTCCTCAGGGAACGCCGCTCCCTTCCTTCCTCCTCGGGCCACGCCGCTCCCTTCCTCCTCGGGCCACGATGCTCACTTCCTTCCTCCTCGGTCCACGCCGCTCCCTTC